AATAAATTATACATATTAAAAATATAAATTATTAACTAAATGTTTATATATAAAACTTAAAGATAGCAAGTAAACATTAGGTAGGGAAAAACAAATAAATAAATTTAAAAAAAAAAAAAAAAAAAAAAAAAAAAACAATTAAAAAAATATTGGATTAATCGAATGGATATTGATCATATAAAAATAAATTTGTTCAGATTCGGATCGATCAAATAAAAACTGATTTGATTAGATTCGGATCAAATTAACCTAAAATCTGATTCGATCCAATCCATTGCAATCCCTAGTCAATGGTAATTCTATTCAATTTTAGATTATAACCTAATCATAATCTATACTGTATATAGACCAGATGCTATATTAGAAACATCAGTTAGTTTATAGTTTACATCAATGGATAGGTTCTTTTCCTTATCAAGCAGTCTTGTATCTTATTGATGGAATTAAATCTGAATTTTGTGATCTTGATCTTTTATGAAATGCTAACCACTGTATTATTGGTCTATCGGTCCTTGTTTTATTGCCATTCTTGGATCACTGGATCATCATCATGTGATAGATGAGATCTTAGTGTCACCTTGTAGCTTATTTTCACTTGGTCCTCATGTGGTATTGAATTTTGGATTTAGTGATTGCTACCTGGAAGCACTGCTACTGTATTATTGATCCACAGGTCTTCAAGTATATTAATTTTATTATTTAATAATATTATTTTTATTAATTATCTTGCTTTGCTTGATTGAGCCTATAGTATTTAGAGAATTTATTATCAGACTTTTATTTTTTTTCAAAGGACTTAATATATATTTTTTAGTATATGATTTACTTGTTTTTTAATAGTTGTAAGTATTATACTTGATTCTTATTATATTTAGTCCTCAGAAGATTAGTTGAAATCTCAACAATACAATCCTCTAGTTATATTCTTGATATTTCAATAATTTAATGGTATTATATAATTGAGTAATATATAAACTTCTATTGTTTTGTTTTTAATTACTTTTGCCAGTTGATCTATAAAAATTTTTCTTGATTAATTGATACCATTTGATCTCTCTCAAACATGTTTATCTTTTGTAATTTTTAACATAATACTAAAGCTTACTATTAGCCTTTATAATCGTTATTCTCTTTGATAACTATTTATTTTACAATAGAAACAATCTTCTATTAATTCTATTATAGTCTATTATATTTTTTATAGATATAAATAATTGAAGTATTCTTTATTTCCTATAAGATTTAGTTTTGACAAGAGATGGATTTTCTTCCTATATTTGTTAAAAGGCTTGGATCAATTGAATCTTTTTTTAACTTGTTTTTGAAATCTTTACATATTATAGATATCAGAATTTAGAGTTTTTCTTGATATTAAAACTGATTAAAACTGTGTGATCTAAGTTATACTGTGATCAGATAATAAATTTCTATAGATTATTTTATATATAAATATGCATGTGGTTGATAAGCATGCATCTTGTATAACATAACCTATATTATAAAAATTATTCTAAAGTGATATTGAACCAGCAACTCATGGATGGTAATCTGAAAGCACTCCCACTATACAATTGATCCACAGGTCATTGAAATATTGATAGTAAATTTGATTCAGAATATTTAATTAAGGTTTAATTCAAATTAGTATAAAAAACTCTTTATATTTTTAAAGTAGCATAGTACATTAACTAATAATATATAATAAAGAATTAGTTATCATATAATGGTCAATATAATATTGTAGATATTTATTTACTATCTTAATGTAGACATACAATAACAATATAATTGTAAATTAAAAAATAATTTCTTTAAATCTATTTCTTTAAATATTTAAAGATTAAACAAAATCTGTAAAATTTGAAATACTATTAAAAAAGTTTTTTTTTTTTTAATATTAAATTGATTTTAAAGAATTTCGATAAGATACAATATATTTAATATCATTTTTAGTTTTATTTACAAGAATAAAAATAAGAGTAACTATCAATAAAGTATGAAGAAAAATTTATTAAAAAAATTATCATATTCAAAAAATTTTATTTTATGTAACAATTTTATAGACTAATTTTAGATATCGTTATATCGAAATTCATATTTTGAAGGTCTTGAGGACTTACAGTATGGTTCTCTAGCTCAAATACGTATCCACTAATTTGGAATTGCACGTGAACCTTCATTAATTGATGAGTTTGTAACACAGAGAATTTTTTTTTTTGTTGAAGAATAATAACCAAATTGCGTAACCATTGACCAAAACGGGAACAAAGAAAAATTTTGGACAGTCCGTGATAATCTCATCTCCGTGGCTAGCATTTATTTACGAGTAATAGCATTTATCAACGTGCAAGCCTCATTTCGTCTTTTTATCGAAACCTTCGCGAGTTGTATGATGAGGTGACGGGGCTTTTCTTGAAAAACTGCATGCCGATCATCATGTTTAAATCCAAATGAAGCCGAACGTCCAACTTGCATTCAGATTCTCTTCGAAAATAAGAAGCTTGCAATGCGTGATGCACATGAGATTCTTAATAACCATCTTCGTGCGTACATGCTTCGATTGATACATATCAATTAGATCAAGAATTCGAGATGGAGAATGGAAATTGTATTTGTAAAATTACTGATAGATTAAACAGATTGCTTTTCCTTTTAAATTCAAGTCACGAATCGTCTAACATCAAAATGGAAAGCAACATTTAGCTTATGCAGTGCGCACGTAAATGACCTATCGATTACCACACGTAAAAACAAAGGATCACAAGTTTATTGCGCGAGTAGTGCGCCGGATGAAAGACTCCTGTGCAATTAAGATTTATTATTGTTACACACTGACGAACTTTTTCACTAAATTATACACATGTGAAACGGTTACAAAGAGCGCAGCCGTGCCTTGCCACCACATTGTTTATTACCTTTGCATGTTCAATGAACAATACGATGACCAGTGATCGAATTTCGATTGTAAAATAAAAAGAGTTGTTTTTTTATTTGATAATTGATAATGCATGCGTAAGTGCTTCGGATTTCTTTGAACACTCATCCAGGATCACGTGACACGACTTTAAAAAAAAAAAAAAAGGAATCCATTTATCAAGGTGGAATAATAGGATATCAGAGAGATGCGTGGTCAAAATGGGTGGTTGAGTTTGGTCACTTCACTAGTAAACATCAGAAGTTACCCGCCAATGATCTTTCCTTTTGTGGGTCCACTGTATTATTTGAGCTAAATGAAAAGATCAGGATATCGAGATTTCGGAATGTAATAATATTTTTGAGTTCCCTATCCGGCAAAAATTTTAATTGCAAGTCAGACACAATAACTTGAGCCTTATCGTCGTCCAAAAAGGCAACCTCGTTCTCCAGACCATTGTAGGCTTCTTTATGCTTTCCATTTCCATGCATTCGGTATTCCCACAGATCTCTTCACCCGCATTCCCTGGCCGGCAATAATGAGTCTTCCTCTTTTTGGTAAAAGAAAAGGAATTCGTTATGCAAGACTAACGTACAAAGAAAATTTTTATTTTTAACTTTTTTCTGTGAAACCGATCGTCATGTCCACTCCTAAATTTGCTGAGCTTTGTACACTCAATGGTTTCTTGTGGAATTCCGTCCGTACGTGCGGACTAATCTGAAATCAAGTTTTCGTGAAACAAAAAGCAGATCAAATGCATGTACGAATTGATAGATCATAATGGATAGAGTTGGAAAAGGAATTGCTATCGTTCAATTCTTGACACCATAGAAAACTTCCTATTTCATGTTCCATCTTTATTACAATGAGAGGCGACGGTCTCTGCGAAAAGACTTTGCGTTGCACAAGAGTCGCGTGTGACCCCGGCTACAAATCCTAAAATAACAGCGAATCATCACCGTCTATGTTGTCGAACCCTTTTACGAATTCACTGTTTGGTCACCATTTTTTAACCGGCCACCATAATTAGAAATCACAATGTATGATGTGGTAATTGTCTAACCTGAGGACGCCGTATGGATGCGGCATCGATTGAAATAGAGTTCGGGGAGAATACCTCTATCTTTTCCGCATTCCGAGGTATATTGTTCATTCCTAAAACTTTAGTAAAGCGGTTCCTTTCTTCTTTTTTTTTTTTTTTAGATTATAATGATTTTAATGTAGTTATGATGTTAATGATGATAAATGATATTCCAATTCTGTGAATGCCGGCCGGTGTTTTTCTCAAGTTTTCTCTTTGCCTAATTTTGGAATTTTTAATGAACCTCATTTGGTTAAATCAGACCAAATCAAGTATATTTATGATGGATGGGATGCTATTATTATTTCGGATGAGGAGAAAACAATGACCGACCCGTTAAACGATTATCAAGCATAAATAGATGTCAAATTAGTAATGATAGTTTTAACTCGAACTCATACGTAATAATAAAAAAATTTTCAACAGTAAATCACGCGGTGAAAGCCTGATTGTGTTGAATTAATTCTACCAATAATAACGATGCCAATATACTGTATACACTGTATATAAAAAAAATTAAATATATTAACTTATTTCGTCGGTGTGCATCACAAAAAACACTCTCGCTTGATTCCATCCTCGTTATTATTATCATCATCACTATTATTATTATTATATTATTATCATTATTCTATTGTTATCATTATCTGTTATTGTTCTGACGTCCTTATTTCCTTCTCATACCTCCTATAATTCTTTCTTTATTTCGTGAATAGTGAGTGTGCTTTTTTTAAAAAAAAAAAAAAAAAAATTTTTTTTATTTACTGTCCGAATATTGTAAACCGACAGAAATTTTTTTCCATCATAAAAAGTGTACCCAGGAATCTTGAGGACTTTTTTTTTTTCTTAGAGCATCTTGCCTGCCATCTTATCACATATAATCAAGCGAGCCTTCTACAATCTTGATCAAAATTTCGGATAAAAAATTTATCATATATTACTGACATCCTCGATTAGACATTTAGACGAAGAATTGATTTTTTAGAGTAATATAGAAATATAGACATGGTGAATATCAATAGAATCGTTGCGTTAATATGTCATCCTTCATTATTCGTGTCAAAAAAGGTGAGCTCCTTTATCCTCATTTGGAGGTGTCTCGAGTGATAAGCGTTCGCGCCAACCTAATTTTCACCTCGTTTTTCAATAGGATAAACGGGTAAACGAGAAGGGCATACTGAAGACAAATCCATCTGAAATTTCGGATTTCGATCACGTCCTGATTACAAGACAAGAGTTGAAACAACGACGACGAAAATACGGAATATGCTCACGCTGCGGTACTCCACTCTCTGACAAATCGTGGTGTCAACTTTGCGAGGGCGACAAGTTGCAAAAAATTTTTTTCGATTGGACGAGCGGCAACCAACAAATTAACGCCTTTATACAGTCAAGCCAGATGAAACCAGTGAACATGAATAGCTACTTGTCGTGGATTCCTTTTGACGATTTTGTTCAGTTCAAGTACGTGGCAAATGGAGGTTTCACTGCCGTGTATTCGGCTCTGTGGGATCGGTTTGGAACCGGTAGAATGGCGAATGTGGTGTTGAAACGGTTGCACCATGGTCAAATTTCCAATCCGGAATTCTTGAAAGATCAGGTGAGTCGCTGGCGTCAACCATGAAATATTATGTCTATTATCTTTCCACTTACGCTGATCATTACCACAGATCTCGATGTTCATCTACGCCGCTTCACAAAATTCCACGATTGTTCATTGCTACGGAATAACACAGCATCCCACGGAGGGATACATGTTGGTGATGGAGTGCGGAGAAGAAGGTGACATCCGTACTTATCTGCGCGTAAACCACCAGAATTTACTGTGGTCTGACAGGATATACCTATTGAGAGATGTCGCGAGAGCTCTTAGTCTACTTCATTCACACGAATTCGTTCATGGGGACTTGCACACCGGAAATATATTGAAGAAGGATCCCAATCCTTCGTTGCTAAATCGTTTCGGTCGAACCGGCGGTGGCCACGAACGTGAATGCATAGTGGATTTACCTTTGTGTTACACATCAAAAGGACTATTCGGTGTGATGCCGTATGTTGCACCCGAAGTCTTCGGCAACGGTTACTACACCAAAGCTTCGGATGTGTACAGTTTTGGATTAGTGATGTGGGAATTTGCGGTTGGTCAAACACCTTACAACGACTATGCTCACGACAAGGATTTGGTGGAGGATATATGTGGAGGTGTGCGTCCAAAAGTTGATAGATCCATACCACAATTTTACGTAGATCTAATGAAGCAGTGTTGGGATCTGGAACCGCTGAACCGGCCAAGTGCTCAGACGATAAAGGGGATAATCGAGGGATGGGCATCGGCGTTGACCAAGACCATGCTGTCGAAAGAACATAAGAGTATTATTTCGCAAATTAAGAGCAGCGACGATGTGGTAAAGAGGAACACCAAACTTCAGTCTAAAATGCCCGACTTGATGACCTCCACGCCCGTACCCGCCGTCACCTCATTTTTCAGTCAGAATTTGAAAGGTTTTTTGGCATCTCCTGAGCGAAATTCGATCTCCTCCTCTTCTTCAATGAAAGGTTCCACTCTTTCATCAAGTAAGTAGAATTTGGTGGGAGGTTTTTTTCCCTCATATTCGTTCGTTCTTTTTTTTTTACTGATCTCAAATTCTTCTTTTTATTGCCCATCAAAATTAGATTCCTATATGTATTAATTGCTAAGGGGCCACGTTCATTCCTTAAACATGCAGAGATGCACGTTTAATTTTAATGGTTCTCTACAAACGAAAATCATAACAAATTACCATTTGTTCAATATGTTTACTACTCGGCATATTTCCTATACACGATATATTCCATTATTTAAGGGTGACACGTCGAGGATATGTCCCACGAATTAAAACAAATGATATTGAAAAAAAAAAAAAAAAAGACACTTAATTACACTCATTATATTCATCTTTGTACATAAAACCAATCCTCTTAAAGGCTCAATCATCTATATTTATCTTATTTATTATTACCTTGCCCATAACCATCATGTCGTTCACTTTGTCGTACGGTAGTAATCAAGATACTCGTATTATCAAATTTCCCATATGAAACCATAGCTTTTCCTTTGTAAATAGCAAATCGATTTTCCTTGTTTTGCTTTTTAATACATTATATATATACTGTGTATATACTGTATATACTGTATGTATGTATGTATGTATTTTTTTTTTTTTTTTTTTTTTTTTTTAAGTTTTTTTTTTTTCCTACAAATTCTTTCGCATCGAAATAAAGTTGTTTTCTTTTCACCCCGGGATATCGAACGCGCGCGTAAATCACAAATTTATTTATTGAAGAGCCTATTTCGGAATCTCATTTGAATCATCGAACGCATGATGTGCTAAATGATACAATTTTGGAAAGAAATAATGATCATTCATTTCAACGGAGCTAGTATTTGAAATGTGTCATTGAAGTCGTTTCCTGCTGCACATTTATTTTTGTTGGCATAAATGTTGAATCTCCGAATTAAACATTTATCCGACAGCAGCGATGGACACCTTTGGAACACGATGGTTTGGCGTCCAATTTCCGTGGCTACAGGATTCTCGGTGACACGTGCATTGCCAATTGGATTTCACTTTTCGAAGAGTTTATCCAATTGCAACTCTTTCTGTTTATTGATTGACCACGATCTGACACTCTTTTTCCAAAGCATTAAAATCGTTGAAATTCTTCAAACAGGTATTACGCATACAATCATGAAATTTGGAAAGTACATTAAAGAACGTATGAATTTACTTCCTGTGGATTGGAAGAACAATTGCATCGATTATGATGGTCTCAAAGCCGACATAAAGGCCAACATCACCCCGTATAATTTGAAGCTCGAATTATCGCAGATAACATGGAAACCACCGAATGAAGATCAGGTCGGCTTCATTCAACTTGTTTTCGATAGAATGAGTTCGTTGCAGGTGAAATCAAGGGAATTCCTGGAAAAGCTGGATTCGGAAGTTCAAAAGGTCTCGAATTTTTTCGTGGTCCAAACCTCTTCTCTTGTAACTCTTTACAAGAATAATGAAGCAGTTTACTCCAATGAACAAGACCTCGCCGACTTATTACAATCAACCGTTAAATTAGAGAAATTCGTTTTCCTCAATTACACGGGATTGGTCAAAATACTGAAGAAGCATGATAAGCACTCTGGATTAAACTTTAGTAAGGCGTACCTCTATCGAGTTTCCTCCCTTCCGTTCGCAAGTTCCGAGAAACTCTCGACACTAAAGAAGACCCTGATGGAAAAACTTGCTTCCGCGTCAACTATCAATGGAAACAGTAAAAACACGACATTTACGAATGGTACTGCGAATGCTCTGGCCGCGAACTTGGCAACGTTCTTAAAACCGCAATTTGCTCCGTCACCGGACAATTGGTTCCCGCCTTCCGCTTTGCTTCCACATCAGAAAGTTTTGATCTCTTTGACAGGTCCTCACGGGACGGACATCATTGGATGTGTGCTAGATTGCATGGCCAAGCATGATTGTGAAATTGAGGATTGCATGTTATCCAGATTATATCACAATGTCACGTTTGGAGTTTTGATCACCCTTAAATCAGATAATTTCGACTTATTTCGGGATCTCTCTGAAGCCGCCAGGAAATGGGATGGCTCCCTGTCATTTGATATTCACGGGAAACAGGATGCTCTGCCAAAGTCAATTGAGGATGCGCCGTACGAAAATCGTGTCAAGTACACGGCCACTGTGTTAAACCAGAATGGTCTTACGTCCAGATTTTTAGATGATTGGACGAAATTATTACTGAGAGAGAAAATTTCGGTGGAAAAGTTGCAACGGTTAAACGAAGGAAGGTTGTCATGTGCAGATTATAAATTATCGGTGCCGGTTGGCACCGATTTTGAACTACTGAGGCAGGAATTATTTCAACTTAGCATGGGTCACGGAACTGACGTCGCTCTTCAACCCTACGACGTATTCAGAAAGCACAAGAGGTTGGTTGTGTTCGACATGGACTCCACTTTGATACAACAAGAGGTCATCGATGAGATCGCCAGGTTGGCCGGCGTCGTTAACGAAGTGGCGGTAAACATATACATCTTAAAATTTACTATCATTACTATTATATCATTTTTTTTTTTTTTTTAATACCGATTGATCTCTGAATTGTTAATTTCCTCTCAAAGGCAATCACGGAATTGGCCATGAATGGAGAAATTGATTTCAAAGAATCTCTGAGGAGACGTGTTTCTCTTTTGAAAGGAACGTCGGTGGATGTGTTGCAAACAGTCAAGGAAAATCTTGTTTTTACCGAAGGCGCCCATTTCCTCTGTCAGGCGTTAAAAAAGATTGGATTCAAATTGGCCGTTATCTCAGGTACACGTGTGATCAATTGATAAATGATAATTATATTTCCGAATTTCCAGAACAATGAACTTTCAAGTTAATCTTAGGCGGGTTCATTCCCCTGGCCAGGCATGTCAAAAATGAGCTTGGGTTGGATTACGCTTTTGCCAATCAAGTAAATGATTTTTCCGATCAGTCTTCTATGAACGAATACTTCAAATTTTCCTAAAATTTCATTGTTTTCATGTCTTCCGAAATCATCTGTCATTATGTTTGTGAACAACTTTGTGCCTGCCAGTTGAAGGTTTCCTCGGATGGCAAAACATTCACAGGTGAAACCCTCGGACCAATAATCGATGGAGAACGCAAGGCGGAGTTGTTGGAAGTGATAGCGCAAGCCGAGAACGTGACATTAGATCAGGTCATCGCGGTCGGCGATGGTGCCAATGACTTGTGGATGTTGGCCAAAGCCGGTCTGGGCATAGCGTTTAATGCCAAACCACGTGTACAAGAGAAGGTAACAGAATGTTTCGAATTGGACCAAGAAATACGTCGCGAAAATTAATCTGATGGTTGATTCTTTTCTTTTGCTTTTCTTGTATTAATTAGGCTCGAGCAAGAATCAATCAAAAAAGTCTCAAATATGTATTATACCTTTTGGGGTATACTGATGATGACACAAAACAATTAATATTAGAAGATTAATTGATTTCTTGTATGAAATGCACTCATAGCATATGTAAAAGGCTTGCCTATAATTGAAAATAATCATAGATGTACATTTAATTTAAATTTCTATTAATTTGGAAATTTGAATCAAATAATGTTCTGCATATCAAAAAGAATAATAAAATTGTATATTACAAATATATTTTTTTTAAGTTTTATATACAGTAACTGACTTAAAATTTAAATATACTGTAAATACTTAACTATCTAAAAATTAATTTTATTTAAAACTACTGTATTTTACAACCCGTATTATTTGATTATAATTATATTTTTACATTAAAATTGGGTTCCATGATTAATAATTTACATGTGAACAATTAGAATTATAAATTATGCAATTTGCAAACAGTTTTCTCAAGAATTATCAAATCAATTAGAATATATGATGATCAATTTTTCATATACCATATGATTTGTATTTAAATTGAATTGATGATTACTAAAAAAAATGAAATTTTAAAATTGATGTAAAAAAAAAATATCAAAATTTTATATATACTTTTTTCACATCACTTTTTCAATATTCATTGATTCAATTTAAATAAATTTTTATATATTATGGATAAATAATTATTGAATAATAGATAAAATTTTAAATTAAATTAACTTATTAAAAAAATTTTTTTAAAGAAATAAATATTCATTTTATTAAAGATATCAATAAATAGTTTATGTAATTGTCTTGATAACAAATGATAAATCTATTTTCTAATTTTTATTTATAAGTTAAAATTAAATCTGTATTAATTATTTCAATAATTCAATTGTTATTCAATAATTCTTATAACTTGTTACTAAAGAAATTTCAATATTTCATTACTTATATTTATATTATTTTACATATTTATATTTGTAATATATAATTAAAACTTTTTTTTGACTTGTTTTTTTTTTTAAGTACTTGTAGCCAGGCTATATTATAAGTTTATTAATTAGTTGAAAATATAAATATATTTTTATTTGAGCAATATAATATATACTATAGCCGAAATATCATTCTAATCTAATTAACTTATCATAAGTATAAAAATCTTTAAGTTTAACCTTATAAACAATATTTCATTCTATAATATCTTTGAATAAAAATCATCTTAATCCATTGTATTATTGCTAGCAAGTTATCACTACTATATATTATATCAAGCTACTAAAATACAAAAAATTACAAAAGAATAGATAAAAAAAGGAAAAGAATAATATCTAAAAATATCCAAATAGACAACAAGAAAATAAAAGAGTAAAAATTAAAAAAATAATTTTCAGTTGTCTTCAAAAATCTACTTCTTATGATTTTTTTTCAATAAGAAATATCCAATTGAAATATCTTTTCTTTTCTTTAATATCTGAGAAACTTATCTATTCTTGATATTGATTTCCTTCTTGTATATTGTCTAAGGAGACTTATCACCTAGTAGAGACCTTTACTTTCAGGATATACTTAATCCCAACTTTTTTGGACAATGGTTTTTTATTTACTTGTGATAGAGAGATGATTTATAATAAATTCTAAGTTCTTAGAAGATCCAGTAAAAACTGAGCTATATTGTTTCAGTATAATATCTTCTAGTAGCCATACCTAGTTAAAAGAATTTTACTGGTATATATTTTCTATTATTTAAAAGGTTGGATTCTCAAATAATTCTTTTGTCTTATACTAATAAAAAAATTTTGAATAGTTATAGGAATTTTCATTAATTACAATATTCTTTAACAACTTTTGAAGAAATATATTCTTAACTGTAATCAAAAGGTTAAAGCTTAGTATAAGTTAGAGACTATTTAATCTTATTGTCTAACTGGAATAAAAAGAAAACCTTGGTCTTGAACTTTGCCTAATCATATAATAGAAAAGAAAGATCTTAGCTTAAACAAATAGAAGTTTTTTCACTACTTAGAGACTTATTGCTTATATTTTATTGGTCTTATGAAACTTAATCTATAAGTTAATTCAATTGAAGAAGTGAATAGGACTGGGTACCAATCAACTCTTTCAATCATCAATAATATTCTCAGAACATGTAAATATGACTAATAGGAGCTTGTTTGCATTCTGTTACTAATATATTTCATATCAGCCAATCAAATACTAGGTAACAATATGCTATTAAAAATTTAGGATCAAACTGAAGTAGGCAAAATTCCTCTAAAAAACAGTATACACTCTAAAAAAATACAAAAAGGTATATAAGAAGGTAAATAATAAGCTTTTTATTATCAACAAAACCGTTACTTCTTGTCACTTCAAGTTCTATAAGGTGACACTTCACTTGTTAATCCTTTTATTTTCTAGAACCTTCTACCCTTAGTAGAGAAAGTATATACTTGAGTCTATTTAGAACATTAAAGACTCAAGTTTTTATTTAAAGGAGTTTATAAACAAATAAAAAAGGGTAATAGAGATACTTAAAAATAAGCTTCAAGTTGTTTTAATAAAAATATAAAGACTTTATTAGTAAGGAAGTATAAAACTTCTTACAAATATCTTTTTTGTATATAATCAAAGAATCAGTGGAAAGAGTTTTTTGTAAAAATAAAAGAATTATAATAAATAAACTTTTTTTTTATTTTTTATTTTTTATTTTTTTATTTAACCCTCTGTCAGACTAGTTATATGTGCTTTATTAAATAATATAACCTTTTTTTTTTTTTTTTGTATACTCATAGTCAGGCTAGATTGTGAGTTTATTAATCAATTGAAAATATAAGTACATTTTTATTCGAGCAGCATGATACATACTACAGCTAAACTATTCTTCTAATCTAACAAACTCATCGTAAGCATAAAAGCCTCTAATTTTGATCTTGAGACAATATTTCGCTCTGCAGTATCTTTGGATAAAGACTCTTCTAGTCCACTGCATTATTGCCAACAGGTTGTCACTGCTAAATGTCTGACCAAGCCGCTAGATTACAGGAAACTACAAAAGAATGGGTTGAAAAAAAGGGAAGAGTGATATCTAAAAATATCTAAGTAGATCACAAGAAAATGAAAGAGTAAAAAATAAAAAAAATTATTTCCAGCTTCCTCCAAAGACCTGCTTCTCAAGACCTCTTCTCAATAAGAAATGCCCAATTGGGATATTTTTTCTTTTCTT